TTTGAGCTGAGTAGACAGGGAGCAGCGAGTGATTTTTCTTCTTGGAACTTTGTTTCCACGATGTCCTGCTTTTTTCTCTCAATTGTAAGATAATCATTTCCCCATGTTAATAATTAAATAAGTGTAAGAAGTAATGACTGTATAACATTCTCTTCTATTAGTGCATCACAATTTGCTTGGTCAAAGCCCAAAATTGACCATTTAAGTTGTGTCTGCTATTCACCATTTACAGTAAGACTGTAGTGAGCAACCCCAATGCTTACTTGGTGGCTTAGTATCCAAAGATTGATTTTGTTAGATTGTAGAACATAGTGGCTTGTTAAGGGTCTTGACCTACCTACAAAAGTTTTGGTTTTGTTTCTTTTTTGCTTCAAGCCAGAATTCAGAGTGAAACTATAAGGAAATGGTAAACACTCAGAAACAAAGTACATTTTGTAGTCTGATTTTCCCACCTGGCACCAAGCAAGTTTCTTTCTAGCTATATTTCCTACCGTAAAACTTGCCGAACAAGATTTTGCGAGAATGAAAAAAAAAAAAAAATCAATATAGGAACTTCCCTGGCGGTCTAGCACTTCCAATGCAGGGGGCATTGGTCAAGGAACTAAGATCCCTCATGCCTGGAATATGAGAAACTGCTTTGTGAATTTTAAAAGCATTGTATATTTGTAAAATATTACTGTGCAATGTATATTGCTTTTTATGCATATATTCAAATAAAGATGAAGTTTGAAAAATACCTGGGTGAAATGCAGGTCGCTGTTTCATAACAGGGTGTCCCACATGGTAGCATCATATATAATTCATCTTTCCTTTTTAAGGAAGTTTCTTAAAGACTGGTTATAAAGCCCTAGAGATTTGATAGCATAAAACTGTCATTGTTACCTTTTACGAATGATAGACACCTTTGAGAATCTGCTGAAAATGGTGGCCCTTTTCATGAAAAGAATACACATTCTCACATATATACATAATATATGGAATATGACTTGGAATATGACTCTAAGCCAATAGTTGTTTCATCTCTGATAAGATATCTTCTTTTATGGAAACCTCAGTTCCTTTGTGTAGTAAAACATGGAGATGGGTCCCTTTCATTTCCAGTTCCTTTAGGCTTCTTTTTCTCAAACTATATAGCCCTATGGTTATAAGGCTCCCAGAAGGGTGTCCATTAAAGGAGTAAGGCGAAAAATAAATAAATAAATAAATAATAAAGGAGTAAGGCGCCTTCTTTCTCCATAGCTCTGGGCTCTGATCCTCACATCAGTATGGAAGTTCAAGACAGTGGAGAGATCCAGCTGGAATGTACCTCAGTGGGATGGTACCCAGAGCCCCAAGTACAGTGGCGAACTCACAAGGGAGAAGAGTTTCCATCCATGTCAGAGTCCAGGAATCCTGATGAAGAAGGTTTGTTTACTGTGAGAGCTTCAGTGATCATCAGGGACACCTCCATGAAGAATGTGTCCTGCTGTATCCGGAACCTCCTTCTTGGCCAGGAGAAAGAAGTAGAGATTTCCATACCAGGTCAGTAAAACAGGTGCTAGGTTCCTTTTTGACACAGTTTCAGGGCAACATCACATGGGACATCTGCCCAGCCACAACCTCCTGGCAGACTTGTCTATTTTCCTCACCTTAAACTTTCCCCACCTAAACTCCTGCCTGCTGAGCCCCACCAACTTCACTAGAGATTCTGAAGGCATAAGTTTTATACGTAGATCTCACAGACATTCCAGATTTTTCATCTTAGAAGATGTATCTTAGATAGGAAAGTCTTCCAGATTTTCTTAGGAGATATATCTTGGAAAACCTTTGTCTCTGAAGGGTGTGGTCTTCCTGATTCAGAGCCTTCTGGATCTAGCAAAATTAGCTCTCCTCTTTCCATCCTTACCTCCCCCTCCTCCCTATCCCATGCTAGAGCTCTAAGTTTCCAGAGTCTTCACACTCTACCTCTGGTTCCTCCAGGAACTTTTCCTTATTCTTGGGTCATTGAGTCCCCTTCTGTTGCACACAGAAGTGATATTTCCCCTTCCTTATTTACTTCCTTCATCCCCTTGGCTCCCATCCTGCATTGATGGCTAAGGAGAAATTTCCATGATAACATGAATTGGTCCATTATATTCTTTATTCCACAGGTCCTGTCCCTAAATGACTCTTCATCTTCATTCCTCTTTTTCTCTGCTGTCTCTTACCTAAGACCAAAATTTATTTGAAAACCTCAGAGTGGTATTGGAGGGACTCTCTTGCCATGGGAGGAATGTGAGAGGTCCAGATCATCCTCTCTTCCAGCCCCCTTTGGAATCAGGAGAGGAGCTAGATTTGCTCTGAGTTTCTCAACAGATGTCCTTCTTGGGGATTTTGTTCTAGCCTCCTTCTTCCCAAGGCTGACTCCCTGGATGGTGGCTGTGGCTGTCATCTTGGTGGTCCTAGGACTTCTCACAATTGGGTCCATATTTTTCACTTGGAGACTATACAAGGAAAGATCCAGACAGAGGAGGAATGAACTCAGCTCTAAAGGTAAGTCATAGAATCCCAGTTTACTTGTCATGAGTGCTTCCACATGAGGTCGAACCCAAGTCCTTTAGGATGACTGCCAATGGGAAGATAATTGATTCCAGAATTCTAAAAATCAGAGGGGATTATAAAGCTCCTGAATTTAGTGGCATCCAATATGAAGAATAACAGAGGTTTGGGTATAAGATGAGTCAAAAGCAATTCTAATTGAGATAATAGACCTGATGTTTATTTATTATTAACCTTCAGACTCTATCCTTACTTTTAACTTGGTTTCTCAGTAATGATTAAAGATCTGATACCAAGTGAGTAGGAACTTCCTGCATATTTCTTAGAAAACAAAACAAAATCCTTGTTCTTCATTTGCTGATAATGCCTCAATAATCAGGTAGTCATGAATTAAACGGTTTCTCCATTATCTGTTTCTCACACCTGTTTTGTCCCCCCCCCCCACACACACACCCAGGCTAGAAGGTCATTAAGGTATTTCTGTTTGTTTTCCAGAGAAACTCCTGGAAGAGCTCAGTAAGTTCTATGTTCTTGTTCTTTTTTCATCCACAAAGTTGTCTCTCTCTTATTATAAACATGTCAATAACACTCTTTCCCCCTCCCCCATCCTCTCTCACTACAGAATGGAAAAAGGCTACATTGCATGCAGGTCAGTGACTCTCAATATCTTAAGGGCTCTGAGGTGCTACCCTGCGGGTATTCAAAGTCCTCCAATACTTAGAAATAAAAACCACTAATATATAGAGGGGAAAGGTGATGGCAAATGGCCTCAACATTATCCTTGAGGCACATAAAGGGCCCTTGGAAGATGGCTAGAAGGCAAGCCCCCTCTGACAGGGTCCCATGGGGTACTGGGGACAGTCAGTTGATACATCACCCTATGGCTGTGGATGGAAGAGGGGAAAAGAGACAGCTGAGCAGGCCAAGCAATTCCCTTCCTGAGAAGACCTGTCAACTGCTAGAGCAGGTCTCTACTTCTTCAGAGAAGAAAGGATGGTTCTTTCAACCATCAGTGACATTCACTGATATTCAGACTCACTTTCTTTCTACCTCTAGTGGACGTGACTCTGGATCCAGATACTGCCCACCCCCACCTCTTTCTGTATGAAGATTCAAAATCTGTCCGACTGGAAGATTCACGTCAGAAACTTCCTGAGAAACCAGAGAGATTTGACTCCTGGCCCTGTGTGATGGGTCGTGAGGCCTTCACCTCGGGGAGACATTACTGGGAGGTGGAGGTGGGAGACAGGACGGACTGGGCAGTTGGGGTGTGTAGGGAGAATGTGACGAAGAAAGGATTTGACCCCATGACTCCCGAGAATGGGTTCTGGGCTGTGGAGCTGTATGGAAATGGGTACTGGGCTCTCACCCCACTGCGGACCCCTCTCCCACTGGCTGGACCCCCCCGCCGGGTTGGGGTCTTCCTTGACTATGAATCAGGAGACATCTTCTTCTACAACATGACTGATGGATCTCATATCTATACTTTCTCCAAGGCCTCTTTCTCTGGTCCCCTCCGGCCCTTCTTCTGCTTGTGGTCCTGTGGTAAAAAGCCCCTGACTATCTGCCCAGTCACTCATGGGCTTGAGGGAGTCACAGTAGTTGCTGATGCCAAGGACATTTCGAAGGAGATCCCACTATCCCCCATGGGGGAGGACTCTGCCTCCGGGGATATAGAAACCCTCCATTCTAAACTAATCCCTCTCCAGCCCAGCCAAGGGGTGCCTTAAGAAATGCTCCAGCTCAGCTCTTTCCCTCTACTCTAACCCCCTCTTCCACCACTCCCAGGGCTTCATCTGCCAGCTTTACTCAGCCCCTGTTTCTTCCTGTTGGGTAGGGATTAATTAATCTTGAGAAGGTTGTGTTGCTGCTGATAGAGTGTGAGGAATAGGCCCTTCCTAATCTGTTTCTGTAACAATAGTTAAGGGGCAGGGAGGTGACTCAAACTGCTTCTTATGGTCTCCCATCCCAGAGGCCAAATCTTCTAGAGAGGGAATTGCAGTTCGGATCGAGATGGAGTTAGGTCGGCATGGGGTTATGACAGAAACATCTTGGTGTCCAGGATAGGGGTTATGGAGGAATAGGTTTTAAGGAAGCAGAAAACCCAAAGGGTTCTGGGAAGGGAAAACCGGTGGCTGAAATCCCATAAAGGAACTTGGAGGGGACATCATGATAGAGGAAAATGAGGTGAACTCAGGCCAGCAATGGACATCTGACTTGGCCCACATCTCAGATTTTCTAAGTCATTCTTACAGGGTGGATCTGAGCAATGGGAAGGGGAGTAAAGAAGGTGAGGAGGTCAGATAGAATGAGAGAGGAGAGAATTTTAAACAAAATGCAAAGGGGCTCTTTCCAACCTCACTTTGCTGATTCCACAAGTTGCTGGTTCTCTTCTTCCTTTTGATCTAGAATCTCTCCACTTTAGAGGCATTTTCAGGCATCATCTTTCAGTGATATCACCACTTTATTGGCCATTGTCTCATGGCCAGTGGCCATGTCTCACCAACATGTGGTTTAAAACTGCTCAACCACACCTTTAATTAGGTTTAACCACCATCCACTTCCATACTGAGCCACGAATCACTCTCTCCCCACCCAGCTTTCCTACTTGCTGCTTCTCAGTGTACCCCGAAAGTTGTGTCATTGTGCTCAGCACAGCTAGATTGATTGCACTTGTTTGTATTTGCATTTTCCTGTATATGTGTGTCTTGTCCAGGCTCCCACCTTCCATTTCCATTGGGTTTTCCAGGATCAATGTCACCCATGGTCTTAATCTAATAAATAAGTCTGTCTGATTGTTGAAAACAGCTTCTGCACCTCCCTTTCTTTCTTTCTTTTTTTTTTTTTTTGCACCTCCCTTTCTTTATCCAACGAATGGAACTGACACAAAACAGAGAGAAGAAACCTGTATGGAAATGCAGTGGGTCAAAGCACTGTGGTTCTGTTTATCCAAGACCCATCCCCAGACCTGATGGCAGTAGGCTCACTAGGGCAGGCAGCACAGGGCCTCCTGTCCCAGGAAGGGCCAGCTACTTACAAAAAGGCCACAGTGCCAGCGGCTACCCATCCTTAGCCTCTGGAGGAAATATCTGGTGATGCCTCATAACTGGAAAAACAAACAAACTTGGGTGATCCTCCTTTCCTTGCCCCTTCCTCAAGCTGTATTCACCCTACCCTACATTGGACTCCTGAGAGAAGACCACCATTTACCTCTGCTTTCAAAGTATTCATTTATGCTCAAATTGTACTTTTAGAAAGTAAAAGATTTTTTTAAAAGTCCAAACTTCTTTAAAAAATACATCAGAATCTTAAGTAGTTGTTTTGCCAGTTTAATGTACAATGTGTATCCTGAAATGTATATATAAAATCTCACCCTAAATAAATGGGGCTGCCACAGGAACCCCTCTCTGAGAATAGAAAGAAAAATAGTCAGAGGTTTCAATTAGCTCTGCAACTGCCCTCCCCTTCCTATTTCCTCATGGTCTTCAAGGAAAATGGTTACCAAACACCGTACTGAGCTGGCAGTAGATTCTGAACTTATGTGATAAGCCTTGCAGCTCCCTTTCCATCTGGCATCAGATACCAGTGCCTGGATGAGGAAATAAACAGTCTTGGTAGCTCTGGCTTTATTTTCAAATCTTCCGAAAGAGAAGAAAGGTGGCCTTGCTGATGCTTCGTCAAAGACTGTCTTAATGACCTGAAGCAGAATTAGTGATGCTGTAGTTTCAGAAGGTCCAGAAAGGCCTCTTCCACCACTGCAAATAATTAACTGTAGTATTTCCAAGGCCTGACTTTCTTTTTAAACCAGAAACTAAAACCTTTCATCCCACAGCTAAAGACCAGCCTTTAAAATGCAAATACTCCTGAAATAATAGTAACAGGACTTCATTTCACACACCAAAACCCAACTCTGGCCATCACATGTTTGAAAGGGCCTGCCTCTCTTTAAAAGAGATTCAGATATTCACATTAAGAGAAAAATAACTGTGCAACTCCTATCATCACTAATCAACAACAGCTCTTCCGTGCCATCTCTCTGCATATTCCTATTCATCTGCTCCTTCTGCCTCCAAACAACATTCAGGTCTCCTGAAATTGCCCTCTGGAAAACTCCGAGTCGACTCTCAACTATACGTGCCTTTACTCTTGCCACTCTAAAATTTTAAATGCCACTTTAAAATTTAAAATGGAAATAGTCTTTTTCCTTGAATACACATGAAAGTTAATTTTAAAAAGAAAAAATGATCCCAAATCTCACTCAAATATAACCGATACCAATATTTGGGTTCATCCTCTCCTTTAAAAAATAAAAAGAATCTGTATTGTTTAGTTCAAAGGACTTAAACTAAATACTTTTTGAGGAGTGTTTCAAACTAGTTGGAAAGTCTTTGAGGTTCAGCTTTGCCGGACATAAACACAGATGTACGAAAATCTTACGAATTAAGGGAAGATAGAGTGACAACCTTGTAGAAAGAGAAAGGCAGAACTGGTTTTAGTTTGATGCCTCCTTTTTGAGAGCAGCATAACATCCATTCAGAAAAGTCCACAAATCCTCAGGGTACAGCTAGAAAATTCAGATCAAGAAGCAAGACACTGGGACCCTCTTACATAGGTCTCGAGGGTCTAGCGGACAGAAAGAAAAGGAGGGAGAAGTTAATGAGCACCCGAGGGCTGGGTCCCAGCAAGCACCAAACTGAATAGCGTAAGCCTTCCCAGGAGCAGGTCAGTTTAAGTAAGGCAATTTCAGTAATATGGGTGCCATTATATAAACAAGAATTCTGTCGAGAGTGGAGAGAAATTTCCCTTACTCTTGGGTACCCAGCCCAGCGCCGCCCCTCCGGCTGCAGCCTGGAATCGAATCCGCGTTCATTCAGAAGACACTGCCCGACGGCCCCCTCAACCCGGCACTTGACTCCGTGTTTCCACTCGGGGTCGGCGTCCGGGGCCGTACGTAAACTGGTGGTCGCCTTTTTTAATTGAAAAATTTCCGCATCCTCAGAAAAAGGGAAAAAAAAAAAAAAAAGACTATCGTTCATGTAGACATTGAAATGAAATTTGAGGGCACCTAAAACACAGCAAGTCAGGATGGCCGAGCGGTCTAAGGCGCTGCGTTCAGGTCGCAGTCTCCCCTGGAGGCGTGGGTTCGAATCCCACTCCTGACATTGCATACATTTTTGAATCGGTCAAACGGTTGTATCACCAGCCTCCCCCCACGTTCACCCTGTAGGCTAATATGTTTTTCCTTTTTTCCTAAATTAACCAAAATAAAAAACAATTTTAAATATTAAAGAAAAGAAATTAGCCAAGTTCTAAAATGAAAGCACTTTGTACCCAGGACACAAGTTAAGATCCAATCATTTTAACCTCCTTTCCCTGTCTCTAGCTGTCTGTCCCTCTCTCCTTTACATTTAAGGAGTTGAATAAAAGTTACTCCTTTCACTGATGTCTACAGGGCCATTCTTTTGTTTTATTTATTTATAGATTCCTTTTTAATTGCTTTTCTTCAATTTTAATTCTCATCTCCCACTCCCCCTTAAGAAATCATTGGAAAGATCATCCTTTTCTTTCTTGCTGTGTGTTTTTGTAGAACACATTTTTGGTTTCACTAGATACATTTTGAATTTACATAAATGCCCCTGTGTCATATATCTCATTCTATTTTTACTTTGTCCCTTTTGGCCACAGTTTTTTAGCCTATGTTGTGCATACACCTAGATCATATCTAGAACAATTACTTTCAGTTACTGCGGGAGACCAGGGTTTGATCCTTGGGTCGGAAGGATCCGACCCCATAGAGAACCTCAGCAGCCCAGCTAGAGGCCCCACTCAATGCATAACTTTTAAATTCAAGTTCCACCCATACTGCTTTGGTAACATATGATCTTTGAAACATCTGAACTGTATCAGCTGTCCAATCAAGTCCACCTGTGGTTTTCATGATGCCATAAATACTGAGGATGCCTATGGTCATCTCCAGACAAAGAAGAATTTCAAGATCTGCACACTCTATTCTCTTACTGCTTCCACTTACCCAAACTGAGCATCCTCTTCCTCACCACACACTGTCCCCTTTGCCTGGAGCACCTCTTCTACTCCTCTCTTTGAGAAGGTAACAGGCAGGAAGGCCAGGGGTCTCCAAAAGGAGGAAATGGCCTGCAAGTGTCAGAGTTTTTTTCTCTTAAAATTCTGTGTTGCCACGACGACACTGGTTCCACCTGAACTGAACTTTTCTCAAACCTTGAGTTAATCAAAGCGTTTTTCTTATGGAAATGTTTTTCTTAAGCTATGTTAATGAAACTATGCATTTGCTATGGAATTTGCCTTTCTTTAAAATGGTTCCACCTAAGACTAACTTTTTTCTTCTTTTCTCAAACCTTGGGCTGATAATAGCTCAACAAACCAGTATTCATATCAATTGTTTTATGGCTGGGGGATGACACACCTCATGCCATCCTATCTCAAAAATGCATATTGTGGGAGAGGGGCCCAGTGAAACTCAGCCCTGAGGTGTCTCTCTTATCTGATCAATAGCTTCCTAACAGACATAAAACTTGCAGCTATAGACTAGCAGAGGGGCGCTCTTTCTGCCCACTTCTGATGTCTATGTCAGAAGCTTTCTCTATCTCTTTTATACTTTAATAAAACTTTATTACACAAAAGCTCTGAGCAATCAAGCCTCATCATTGGCCCCAGATTGAATTCCTCTCCTCTGGAGGCCAAGAATCCCCAC